TGTCAGTTCCTCTACAGAGGCTGCTTGGCTACCTCATAGCATGGCGACTGGATTCCAAGGGCAAGCATTCCTAAAGACCAGATGGAAGCCATCTCAGCACTATGAGGTAACCTCAAAAGTCACATAGCATCACTTCCACTGTAGTCTTAGGTCCACCCAGCCAGATTTAGGAGGTGAACATAGTCTCTACCTCTTGATGGGCTGAGTGTTAATGACACATGAGAAGAGCATGTGAGATGGGACATATTGTTGGAAAATGTAATCTGACAAAATGCCCCCTTATCAGATTGAAGAACGTCTCTTCTGTTCTAATGTGATTAGTTTTTATAATAAATCAATGGTGAATTTTTCAAGTACTTTTTCTGCATCTATTGAAGGATTTTCTCCTTTATGCTGTTATTATTGGAAATTACACTATTGACTTTAGATTGTTAAACCATTTGGCAATCTTAGGATAAATTCAACTTGGTTATGCTAGAATAAACTTATGTATCACTCGGTTTAATTTGTTAATATGTTGCCTACTTTATTTATTTTTTATTTTTAAATTTTTTTATCACCTGGGGCGCCTGGGTGGCTCAATTGGTTAAATTTTTTTAAGTAATCTCTACACCCAACTTATGACCCTGGAATCAAGAGTTGCATACTCTACCAGTTGAGCCAGCCAGGTATTTGTAATATCTTGTTAAGAATTTTTCCATCTTTGCTTTTGAAAGATACTGTCTGGGGCACCTGGGTGACTCAGTTGGTTAAGCGTCGGACTCTTTAATTTCAGCTCAGGTCTTGATCTCGGGGTTGTGAGTTCAAACCTTACACTGGGCTCCACACTGGGCATGGAGCCTACTTAAAAAAAAAAAAAAGATACTTGGTTTGTGACTTTCTTTTCTTGTAACAACTTTTTCAGGTTTGGATATCAGTGGGTTTTAAGATTTTATTTATTTATTTGATAAAGAGAGAGCGAGCACAAGCAGGGAGAGTGGCAGGCAGAGGGAGAGGGAGAAGCAAGCTCCCCACAGACCAGCAGGAGCCCGATATGGGACTGGATCCCAGGACCCTGGCACCATGACCAGAGCTGAAGGCAGTCACTTAACCAATTGAGCCACCCAGGGGTCCTGGATATCAGAGTTATACTGGCATCATGAGTTAGGGAATGCTGTCTTCTAATTTCTGAAAGTTTGTAGATTATTTTTTTCTGAGATGTTCATTAGAATTCACATCTGAGCCTGGAGTTTTTCTTTTTTTTTTTAAGATTATTTTTTTAAGTAATCTCTACACCCAGTGTGGGGCTTGAACCCACAACCCTGAGATCAAGAGTCTCATTTGCCACCGACTGAGCCAGCCAGGTGTCCTGAGCCTGGAGTTTCTTTGTGGAAGAATTTCTGATAAATTCAATTTCTTTAATTGGCTATGCAGATTTTGTTTCATCTATGGTAGTTTTGATTGTAATTTTCAAGGCATCTGTCCATTTCACCTAAGTTGTTAAATTCCTTGGCAAAGAGTTATTAGAAATTCCTTATTATCTTTTCAATATTTGTAGGATCCATAGTGATGTCCTCTTTTTAATACTTGATATTAGTAATTTATGTTCTTTCTTTTTTACTTATCAGTCTAGCTAGGAGTTTGTCAATTAGTTGATCTTTTCAAAGAAGCAATTTTAGGGTTTGTTATTTTCTCTATGGTCTTAAATTTTGTTGATTTCTGTTTTAACTGCAAGCTTTGTTGACAAAGTAGAGCAAATTTTATAAAAACATAATCAGACAATTTTATTCCCCTGCTGAAAACCTTCAAGCATTTCCCATGGCATTTAGGATAAAAGACAAAAGTATTACAAATCCTGTAGAGCCCTCCATGACCTTGCCTTTTGTCTACTTCTCCAACCCCATTTGTTGCTACTACCTCACTCACAATGTTTCACTTGCAGTGGACTTTTGACAATTCTATGGCAAGCCGAGCTTTTTCCTGAGACTTCACCTGGGCCCTTCTTCCCCTACAACTCTGCATGGCTATTTCCTTTTTATCCTTCATGTGTCAGTTTAAAGTATAGCATATCAAAGAAACTTTCCCCTGACCATTCTAAAGTAGCTCTCTGATCCCTACATCCCACAATTAGTCCATATCATGTGATCTATTTACTTACTTAATAAGCACTTTCTGTAAATTATCATTTTTGATTAGTTTATGTTTATTGACATGTCCAAATTTATTTGATGTTAGAGTTTCATCTGAATAGGATACTACTGTGTTGAAGTACAGCATCAAGGCTAGTTAGGCTGTAGATTCAGACTGGCTGAATTTGAATCCTAGATCCACCATTTATTGTGTGAATTTGGGCAAGTTATTTGATCTCCCTGAACCTCCATTATTCTACCTGTAAAAAAGGGGTATTAAATAGTACCTATCTTATAATTGTTGTAGAGATACAGTTAAGGCATCAAAAGTGCATAAAACAAACCATGGAATATAGTTAAGTCCTCAGGAAATACACATGACTTATTGTCATTGATTTCTAGGGCCTAACACAGTGTCTCTTATTCAAAGAATGGATGTGAAGAATTGTGTAAAGTGTGCAGTTGTTATTCAAGTGTGTCAGCTATCATTGGCCCAAGTCCTCAAGGCAATGCATTACTCATATAATATAGGCTTTATTATTTGCCATTCATCTTGGCTCAAATTAGCAACATTTCCATGAAACAAGCCAAATGAATTTCTTTTCAAATTGCTCTTCTCATGGACTATTTGTGCCTTATTTCTCCCTACTGAACATAAAGTCTCCAAAAACAGGGACTGAGCCCTATTATGGTGCCACACCACGCTCCTTATAGGGGATGAAGGCATAGCTCTGTCCTTGAGAGAACCAACTTGGGGGCACACAGGTAAACAGGCAGTTACCATAAAGTGTGGTACATACTCTATTAGAGAAATACCTGATGTTAGATGCTGTAGGACATCCATATCAGACTGAAAGTATAGCTAACAGACCTCCCAAGGTAAGCTCTCCATAATGCTGATATAATGCCTGACACACAATGGGTGCTGAATAAATGGATGCTGAATACCCAGAGGGGGAATAGGGTAAGATGTAATTATATATACCCATTAACTTTTCTAACTCCATACCCTTGAGAGCTAGGATTGGTACCTCACTTATCAATCGCTGGACCAGATCACTGTCCCATTCTATAGATCAAAGGGCTATTCCCACAAAAGGCAGGAAGAGTAACAATGGAAATCAAAACAGAAATAGTCAATCTTCAGTGGACGATAACCTGGCAAGATACACTTTGGGTCATTAATCTGAAATAAATCAGATATAAATACAGTTATTATTTTAAATATTATTCTGTTCTGACTACTTATGTTTAGCATTTGTGCTTCAATAATGTGAATATTTTTTAATAACGTGAATAGTTAAAAAAGAGAAATAATGGCCAAAATATGAATAAAATTTATTTTTAATATCCTACGTATTTTATAACAGACATAGAATGCAAATTTTTATTTAAAAAAATATTCGCAGTCCTCTTTTATTGATAACATAACTGAGACACTTATTTCATACATTTAAATTATCTTGAGATTTGATAACAATATTTAGCTACAATGTAGCCCAGAAATGAAAATATACAAAATAGTTTTAAGAACACATGTACTTCTACCTGTGAGTACACTTACAAATCATACAAAGATACATATTTATTTTAAAATAAAGACTTTGAAAATGAAACCAGTTCATCTAATTTTTACCAAGGTATGACAAAAAATCTTTTATGCAAACAAAATTAAAATTGAAGCAGAAATAACACCTTCAGCTTAGTTTTCTAATACATCAATTAGATGGTAACTAGACTTATGGTGATTATTTTGCAGTAAATACAAATACTGAATCATTACATTGTGCACCTGAAACTAATATATTGTTATATGTCAATTTTACCTCAATAAAAAAATTATAAAGTTAGAACAATTAAAATAGTTTGCATTGATCAAAAAGAATCACATCAATTCTACAAATCACTATTTCTGAGGACAGAACTATAATTGTTCCCTTCCCATTTCTGTCATGCTTACAATAAAAGATAAAAAGTATTCTAAACACAATAAATGGAATTCTTAATATTTTAAACCATTTTAATATAAAGAATAGCAATCAAATCGTGTCTTACATTTCTACTTAAGTTTATATTGCACTAAAATTATTTTACATGGAAGAACTAGTTGATGTATCATGACAAAATACCTTCAAAACATTCTTTGACATTCACATCTATATTAATGGATATTTCACAGTCCACTTAAATAAATTTTCTAGTGTATACCAAATCACCTAACAAAAACAAATCTATAATGCTAACTGTTTTGAGAGCAAAGATATTCAGTATTTATTATTACTGCCTTTGGGAAATACACTGACTTTTAAAAACAAATTTAAGTCAGTCATAGTACCTAGTACCTAGTAATAACATATGAGCAATACCTGAAAATTCTTCATTTATTGTTGAGTTTCTACAAGGCTAATTTTTAAATACATTTATTTTATTTAAAAACAAAAAGAAAAAGTGTCAGTCCTTTTATGCAGTGGAGCAGAATTATGAGAAGAGAGATAATAAGAATAATCTTCAATGCTGGCATCTAAGCTAGTTTTTAAGTTTTTTTTTTTTTATTTTTTTATTTTTAGTAATGTCTATATCCAAAGTGGGGCTTGAACTTATGACCCCAAGATTAAGAGCATGCTCTTCTGGGTGGGCCAGCCAGGTTCACCCCCCCAAGCTATGTTTTATATAACTTAAAAATTCAGTTTTCATCATTCTGCTGCAATATAACCAAGCCTATAACCAATGTTAGAGTCTTTGAAAATCATGATTATAATTAAAGCTTGGAATTAAAGCATGATAAAGCTAATGGCAACCTCCTGAATCCCATCTTAAGTTAGTTCTACTTCCAAATAACACTTTAAAACAGTTTCAAATAACCTAACTGATTAGCCAGCATCAGCTTAGGAATTTTTTTCAATGTTCTAAGGTATAACTTTTGGCATCAAAAAGCACAGTAAGCACTTTTGATTTGTGATGAATAAAAAAAAAAATCAAGTACTAAAAAACCAGTGGTTCCTGTGACAAGGCAAATATCCCCTTCAAGTAATGTTCCTCCCAAAATTAAAGTAACATTTTATTTCTCCCTCTGAGATATTAAGGAAAAGAAATCATGATTTTCTTTAGTTGAGGTGCAAAAACTGCTTCATAAGTTCATATGTTGTAAAAGCCACTGCTTGAGAGGGAACACAGCGAATGTAATTAAGAGATAAACCACGATATAATCCTCTTCGAATTCCGTGGTGTCCATAGACATACTTCATAGTCTCCCACATGGTACTGAAAGACAATGGTTAAATGATGGCACCGTTATACCCACTCAAGAAGAGACAATTTCAGGATTCATAACAGAATTTTTTAAAAAGATTTTATTTATTTATTTGAAAGAGAGAGACATAGTACAAGTAGGGGGAGGGTCAGAGGGACAAGCAGACTCCCCACTGAGCACGATGCCCAGATGGACAGAGGGCTCGATCCCAGGACCCAGAGATCATGACCTGAGTGAAGTCAGATGCTTAACCCACTGAACCACCCAGGCGCCCCCATAATAGCATTTTTAAAAGAAGCCAAAACGCCATCTTGAATAGGTTTTGGAAGGCAAGTGTAAAAACAAGCTGAAAATTCACAATAAAGCAGCAATTCATTCCAAACAAGTACAAGCATTATGCACAGAATTGCCGGGTTCATTAGTACAATCTATTTTGTTTGGACTATGCCTGTAACATTTACTGGCAACACTATCTCATAATAATACCTGGACTACTGGTAAGACCGCAGTCCTATCTCCCTACTTGATTTAAACACTACATTCCCTAAAGAAAATGAACAATGACAAATAGAGAACTTACAGGCACTTTTCATATTCTGGGAGAACAGTTCCTAATTGCATTCGCCGACGAGTTACATCAAATGGGTAGCTAAAAGAAGAAAAAGGCAGAAGGACTTAAAAATGATTTTTAGTGTTCTACGCAACAATTATTGAATACAAAGCCCTATATATTATTTCCTTAGAAAAGAATGTGTTCCTATACCTTTATCGTTTTGTCTAATCTGGGAGTTAGTATATAAGCACGTGAATAAATTAAATAGCAATACAAAGGTCTTGCTTTTGCTTATGTGGTTCCATTGGGTTAGATAATTCTTCTCTCTCATCATTACAATATAGAGTTCTATTCATTCCTCAAGACCAAATTAAATGCCACTTTCTGAAGATTCAAACTGGGTATTTTTCATTGTTGGAACCTAAGACAGGGTTTGTCAACTTTGGCACTATTAACATTTTAGGTTGGGTAATTCTTAGTTGTGGGGGTCTATCCTGTGCACTCTGGGATGTTTAAGTGCATCCCTGGCCTCTACCCACTACATGCCAGTAGCATACCCTCAGCTGTGACAATCTAAATTGTCTCCAGTCATTAAATAAATGTCCACTGGAGGCAAAATCACCCCCAGTTGAGACCCACTACTCTAAGAGTATTCAGTAAGTCCCCCTGTATAGAGTAGACTAACAAAAATTTTTCCTTAAGGGAAAAAACCAACAATATACATACTGCATTTAGAAGACAGAGAAAATTCTATGTAAAAAAAATTACCTAAAATGAAATATACAAAAGCAATCTCTTTTAGGAGTGGGACCCCAGGTGATTTTTTTAAATTACTTTTATTTTGCTAATATTGACTACTTGTGTTAGGTCTTATGCTAAACAATTTATGTAAACTATCGCATTCCATCTTCACAACTGCATGAAGTAGGTACTATTATCCCAACATTAATAAATTGAATCTTAGAGACATTCTCCAGTGTGACAAGCTGCTTTCTCCTTTCTTATTCAAAGATCTCCATGGGGGTGGGAGGGATGGGGTGGCTGGGTGATAGACATTGGGTAGGGTATGTGCTATGGTGAGCGCTGTGAATTGTGCAAGACTGTTGAATCACAGATCTGTACTTCTGAAACAAATAATGCAACATATGTTAAGAAAAAAGAAAAAGAAGAAGATAGCAGGAGGGGAAGAATGAAGGGGAGTAAGTCGGACAGGGAGACAAACCATGAGAGACGATAGACTCTGAAAAACAAACTGAGGGTTCTAGAGGGGAGGCGGGGGGGGGATGGGTTAGCCTGGTGATGGGTATTAAAGAGGGCACATTCTGCGTGGAGCACTGGGTGTTATGCACAAGCAATGAATCATGGAACACTACATCAAAAACTAATGATGTAATATATGGTGATTAACATAACAATAAAAAATTAAAAAAAAAATCTCCATGGTACGTAATATATACCTAAGTGATATATGACAAAAATAATGATATACTTTTATATATATTTATATTTACAATGAAATGTTATAATTGAAAAGAAACCATTTTTTTTTAACCGAACAGCTTAAGAAATAACATTAACCAATCACTGAAGCTCCATATGCATTTCAATAGCATCTCCAGGAATTATTTTTTAAGGAGCGTGGTAAGAGGAAGAAACTTTATGAGAATTAAGGGACAAAAACCTCAACCTGAAGGATTTGGTTTCCAAGTAGGAAAAGATGTATGTGAGTACAAGGAATTGGTTAATAGAAAGGAGAGAAGGTAAGAAGACCAGGTACAAGGAGTAGAGCAAGGGAAATAAGAGTAAGAAAGAAAAAGCACGCTAGGCAGTGTTCTATAGTAAAAACTGATAAGACAGAGTGATACTTGGAAATGTACAATGTGAAAATTGATTTTGAGGTATTACCAGGGCTAGAAGATTAATGGTTATCAGTCACAAATAGGAAAGCTAGGAGCTGAGGATTGTCACCAAGAGGAAGACAAGAAAGGAGTATCTGAACTGGAGTTTGCACTGATGGCAGAAGTCCAATAGAAACATCCAAGAGCTGGGGCGCCTGGGTGGCTCAGTCGGTTAAGCGTCTGCTTTCAGCTCAGGTCATGGTCCCAGGGTCCTGGGATCGAGCCCCACATCGGACTTCCTGCTCAGAGGGTATCCTGCTTCTCCCTCTCCCACTCCCCCTGCTTGTGTTCCCTCTCTCGCTGTCTCTGTCAAATAAATAAATAAAATCTTAAAAAAAAAAAAAAGAAACATCCATGCTAGAGAAGTAATGGAGAATCAGTAATGAAGATTTAAATAGAATTTGTTATCTGTGCAGAAGTGACCACTGAAACCATAAAGATAGATGAGCTATCCTAGATATTTATGGGAAGGGCAGAGGACGAAGGTCAGGCTGGGCCTTAACAACTCAGCATGACTAGGGAGGAGAAGGAGGATATGAATCAGCAAAATGCCTGAAAAGGGAAGGCCAGAAAGGTTGATTGCCAAGAGAGGGTACTGTTACAAAAACCCAGAACCAGGACAATTGGAAGGAAGCAAAAGAACTGAGAGGGACCCTTTGGATTGGTAAGAGTCTATAGATGTAGAATACAGTTTAAGAAAAGAAGTGGGAAAGATTTTAAGGATCTACATTGGAAGTGAGTGGTAAAGAAAAAAGGCAGTAAAAGCAAGAAGAGAATCAGGTAGCTAGAGGGTGATCATGTTTCTGCAAATGAGCAAGGTTCCAGAGTCAGGTTTCCAAAAGTAAACCACACACCTTTTCTTTTTAACCTTCAACCTCCTATGATCTGCTTCCACACACAAGTACACTGAACCTGCTTTCACAAAGGTGATTCATCATTGTAAAATCCAATGATTTGACTTTTCTTTTCCATTGGATACTTTTTTGTCTTTGTGACACTACTACTTCCTGTTTTTCAGGATACTCCTCAGTCACAGAAAGCTTTTCTTCTTCTTCCTGACAAGTTCCTGCTTCTTAGTGTTCCAGCCTCTTTTGATCTCATCTACTCAATCGCTCTTGGGCTGGGAAATTCTTGGAAATCACCTTTCCAATTACAATAGTAATACCTTTATATTCCCACTACAACTTCTATTAATATATAATTCATTGTATTGCTACTGTCTTAATAAGAATATAGGCTTTTTGAGGCCATAACTTTGTTTTTCCCTCAGCAAATGTCCCAAAGTCTAGTACACTGTCTGGCACAAAGGAGGCCTTCAAGATTTAGTGCAAGAGAAGTGCCTCCTTACACACAGACACACACACACACACATACAAACAAATGGCTCAAATTTCAGAAACTCATAAAGGCAAATTCATGAGAAAATATGGGTGAACACCATACTTTTTTTTTTTTTAAGATTTTATCTATGTATTTGACAGAGAGAGAAACAGCGAGAGAGGGAACACAAGCAGGGGGAGCGGGAGATGGAGAAGCAGACCTCCTGTCGAGCAGGGAGCCCGACACGGGGCTCGATCCCAGGACCCCGGGATCATGACCTGAGCCAAAGGCAGACGCCCAACGACTGAGCCACGCTGGTGCCCCATACTTTTTTTTTAAAGATTTTATTTATTTATTTGATCGGGAGAGAAAAAGCACAAGGCAGAGCAGCAGACAGAGGGAGAGGGAGAAGCAGGCTCCCCGATGAGCAGGGAGCCCGATGTAGGGCTCAATCCCAGGACCCTGGGATCACGACCTGAGCCGAAGGCAGACACTTAACCAACTGAGCCACCCAGGTGCCCAGGGTAAAAACCATACACAGTAATTCTTTGTAGCTTGCTGTCTTTTTTTCATTCTTTCATTTAAAAAAAACTTTTTAAAGATTTTAAGTAATCTCTACACCCAATGTGGGGCTTGAACTTACAACTCTGAGATCAAGAGTCGCATGCTATACAGACTGAGCCAGCCAAGCACCCCTCTTTCTTTCTTTTAAATGAATCCACAGGAATTTGAATGGGTTCAAACTAATTTGGTCAATTTGGCACCTAATTATTTATAATATGCTTAAGGTGCTACATCTGGAAAAATGTATTCAATTACTGCTTATATTTTGCAAGGGATCCTGTGTTTTAATAATCTATTAGAAAAACTAAAATGATTAATGCTGAAAATCAAGATTGAGAAACTGCAATTTGATTGAATTAAGTTGATGAAGAAACTTACGATATTGTCTGTGCTATTGCTCCAGCAACACCACCACAAAGTAAGTTTATGTGGGTTTTCAGAACTAAGACATTAGGATTGTCTGATGAAGGTCTGCCAAGAAGGGTAGGAGCATGGGAAAGCCCAACACTCTTTAAGGTACCAAAAGTAAAAAATGAAACACCTGAAAAACAAAATACAGATTCACCACTATGCTTAACATTACATGAACCAAGAAAAGACACCATTCTTCATAATAAACAATTAACTCAAGGAACAAACTATACATTTCCTGATTTCTGATGTTTGGCTTATTCTAGAAGAAAAAGGTTTAATTAATGTTTATAAATAACCTAAAGATGACAACCACCTATAAAAATTATAGCTGTAGTTTTCATACACTTACACTTCAGTTTACTAAATAAAGGCAGTAGTTGAGTATAAATGCCACCTTATATATTGATAGAATTAAGTAGTTTTCCAAGGTTTCACATGAGTAAAACTTAAATTCATGATTAATAATTACAAGTAAATATGACAACTGATATTCACAATAACAATGACAGTGGTAAGATAAAAGCAAAAACTTTAGGAGTGACAAAGAATTGTTATTTTAACTCAGTGTCTAATTTTTGAAGAGTTGTGACCATGAGAGAAACGTTCATATTGGATCACAAGACACGTGAAATCTAATAAATATTATCAATAACATGCACTTGGTGCTTGCTGAACATTTACATGATTTTATAATTGACCCATTAAAGTCTCACATTAACAAAATAAAGAATAGAATTTAAGCAATCCTATCAACTAAACATTACTCAAGATAACTTGATATGTACTAAATTTTAAAAAAAATATTTAAAATATACATGATGCTTAACAAGAAATGAGCACTAACAAAAATTTAGTCTAGGAGAATACCTCAATATATGGATTTATTCATTTTTTTGAAGATTTATTTATTTATTTGTCAGAGAGAGAAAGCGAACAAACAGAGGGGAGCAGAGGGAGAAGCAGGCTCCCCACTGAGCAAGGAGCCGGATGTGGGACTCAATCCCAGGATCCTGGGATCACGACCTGAGCCAAAGGCAGACGCTTAACTGACTGAGCCACCCAGGCGTCCCCGCATTTATTCTTTATACAGAATTCTTATTATAGTATTTTGAATTGATGGTATATAATTTTAGAATATTCATATACTTTTATATTTGGTCTATTTTAAAGACTTAATCTAAAATCTGAAAAAGCTCACAATGAGGAAATTCATAGCAAGTTAAATGTAGGTTGAAAAAATCAGAAATATATAAATGATGTGGAATAGTAATCAGTGAAATATGATGCAACTAATAAAAAGGACATTTGTGAAGAGTATTCAAATATATGAAAAATGTTTGGGAAGTGGGGGAAAATAAAGGAAGAAAATTATATATATACTATAATTAGGTTAAAATATATTTTAAAAACAAAAAACTTAGAGAAGAAAATAGAGCAAAAAATTTTAAAGTTCTGCTTCCAACACAACGGCAATCTAGGTATTCTTTTTTTTTTTTAAGATTTTATTTATTTATTTGACAGAGACACAGTGAGAGAGAGAACACAAGCAGGGGGAGTGGAAGAGGGAGAAGCAGGCTTCCCACTGAGCAGGGAGCCCGATGTGGGACCCGATTCCAGGACCCTGGGATCATGACCTGAGCCGAAGGCAGATGCTTAATGACTGAGCCACCCAGGCACCCGCAATCTCAGTATTCTGAATGACTTTGTCATTGCTATTGGACTTGCAAAAAGGGTGAGAAGGTCTCCAAAAACCCAGCAACACAACCTTCCAAAAATATAAGCTGGAGCCCACTTGGGAATTGTGGGCCCATGAGAGAGTTGAAGTGACTCAATACAATGAAGCCAATAGCAGAAAGCTATTGAGATGGATCTTGCCACTGGGTTTGCAGAAGATGGACTCATTGGGTCTGAAACTCGGAGATTAAGATCAAGTAATGGGCTCATAATTAAAGAACATCAACCATAGAAGGAGGCAAATAAATTTTTTTAAAGATTATTTATTTATTTATTTGAGAGAGAGAGAGAGAGGCAGAAGGAGAAGCATAGGGAGGAGAAGCAGCCTCCCCACTGAGCAGGGAGCCCGATGCAGGACTCGATCCCAAGACCCTGAGATCATGACCTGAGCCAAAGGCAGATGGTTAACTGACTGAGCCACCTAGGCACCCCAGGAGGCAAATAAATTTATACATTTATAAAACAGTGGGTAAGGGTTCAGAAAAATCAGTGAACAAGAAATTTTTGAAAACATAAAAAGAAAAGCCACAGGTATAAATCAAATAGCAAAGTATAGAAACAAATACAAATGTATCAATAATCACAACTATTAGGTGGGCTAATTGGCAATTAAGGATTTTACAGACCAGATTTTTAAAAATATCCAGTTACATACTGATTGCAAAAGAAATATCTAAAACATAAAGACATAAAAAAAAGGAGAAAATAAAAGGATGAAAAAAGATATACCAGGCAAATATTAACTTGGATCTGTCCAAAAACTAATTATGAGTTAAGGGGAGGGGGCAGGGATTTGAACCACGAATATACTAGATGATATTAAGAATTCTTTTTTAGGGGCACCTGGGTGGCTCAGATTTAGGTTAAGCATCTGCCTTCAGCTCGAGTCATGATCTCCAGGTCCTGGGATAGAGCACCATGTCTGGCTCCCAGCAGCGGGGAGTCTGCTTCTCCCTCTCCCTCTGCCTCTCACCCTACTTGTGCTCTTTCTGTCTGTCTCTCTCTCTCAAATGAATAATAGAATTTAAAAAAAAAAAAAAAAGGAATTTTTTTTAAAGTTCCATAATGTTATATGGTTATGCTTTAGAAAAAAGCATAGAGAGGAGCTGAATACGGAAATATTGTGGATGAAATAAAATGGATTTGCTTTAAAACAATTTGGGATGAGAGTGGAGGGAATTATTTAGGGGCACAGATGAAACAAGACAGGTAGTAAGTTGATCGTTGTTGAAGGTAGGTGCTAGGTACATGGTGGCTCATTATACTATTGCCTACTTTGAATATGTTTGAAATTTTCCACATTTTAAGCAAAAACAATAAAATAATAAACTCATGGGATGCAGCTGAAGCAGGATTTAGGGGGGGAAAAAGCCTACATTAGGGAAAAAAAAATCCAAAGGTTGAAAATGAATGAGGTGGGGCGCCTGGGTGGCTCAGTCGTTAAGCGTCTGCCTTCGGCTCAGGTCATGATCCCAGGGTCCTGGGATCGAGCCCCGCATCGGGCTCCC